CAGGGTCGCCATAGGTCAGCCACAACGTGACAGCGCTTTTTACCACTAGGGGACTGTGAAAACCCCTTCCCTGTTCCACCGCCGGAAAACGACCTTTGCGTTCAGCCCAGTGATGCTCAACCACGCCACGCCACAGTCCTTGCATCACTGGCTTGCTGAGTTTCAAAGACCAGTTGACAAGCAGCCGGACGATTCAAGCCAAGCTCTCCCCCCCCCCCCCCCCTTTTTCCCCACCGACTTTTGCCTCCCTCTGAAGGCAAGGAGAGGGGAAGAGAAGCTTGGGTGGGACGGGACACAGAGCTCACCACTGCCTAGAGAAAGGTCCCCCAGCCTTTCTGAGCACATGGATACCTTCAGAATCCCAATACCCCTGGTAGGCACAGCCACAAAAAAATGGCTCCCATGGGAGGCAGAGCCAACCACAAAATGGCTGCCACGGGAGGCGGAGCCAGCCACACAGTAAAAGCCCAAGTGCAGGGGGGGGGGCGTTTAAAAAATACACTGGGAAACAGGAGGTTTTCCCCGTTCCCCCCCCCCAAAATTATTTTTTATTGTTTTTCACCAATATAGAAAGGAACATAGGCCCCGGTCACATGGAGAATTTGCTGCCCGAAGGCACGAATGTCGGGCGGATTTTCGGGGCGCGATCACACCGCAACATCTGGGAAGTGTAGCGCACCCGTGGCCATCCCGTGGTGTCCCGACAAAGATGCAGAGTTAAAAAGTACCAAGGAGGGTGCACGAGTATCCGGAAAATGCGCAGCAAAAGCGGGCGTCTGATCGCTGGAGCGCTAGTATCCCGTGGCATCCGGCGCCCATCCACATCCCGTCGCGAACCGGATGTTTTTCGTAAGCGCATGCGCACAAACACAAAACTGAAAGTGGTGCTGCTCCGCGGAACTGTACATGTGCACAAACGTGAAATGCTGGTGTGATCGTGCCGCGCCACTTCTTTGCCACACTGCAGCATCACCATGTGATTGCCAGTTAACAGCCTAAGCACGGAGACTCAGGGAACCGTGTGATCAGGCTACCATGCTTTATTTTGCTCTGGGGCCACGCCTCCCCCCTGCCAACGTTATCTGGCCCGTGTGACCGGGGTCATAGGTAGATATAATGATATACATCAACAGGAGTGAGGGAGCAATGAAATAAAAATTTTGGTGGCATCTGCCACTGAAACAACATTATTTTAATCTGCCCAGCCAATCGGATCTTCGATGGCTAGCTCAGAAACCTTGCTGGGAAGTGCCTGACCTGGCCGCATCTGCTTTCCAAAAACACTTGAACAGCACTGCGTTAGAGACTAGAGAATTCCCAACCAGTTCAAGACTAGACGTATGCGCCACTTCCAACTCACAAAGCAGATCACAATCTTTTTCGGAAACTGGCCTCCACCCCAAGCCTTGCAGAGAGGAAGGAATCTCTCTCCTTGTGATGGACGGAGGCGTTGGCGAGATTTAACTCAGGCGCTGCCCACAAACACCGTGTCAGCCCCAGGTTGCTCTTTTAAACAGCCATCCATTGTCCCGCACCCGCCCGCTTAAGCCTTCCACAGAGAGAACAAAAGAGGGGTTAAAGGGCATTAAGGGCTTCATCACACTGACTCAGTGAACAGCGCTTCCCCTGGAGCAATCGGCTGCGTCTGATATGGCAAAGGCCGCAAATGCAACACAGAATTAAAAAGAAAAGAAAAACTCAATCCAGCTTGTACCACTGTGCTCTCTGGGGAGATAACTTGAGCTGAAAGAGGGCTTAGGGTTTCTTTCTTCCTTGAGAAAGAGAGAGATCGAGACCTAGATATAAAATCCTAGCAGCAGAAACTGTTTCAACACTTGGGCTATTTCCTAAGCCAAGGTCTCCGCTTCTTATGAATTACAAGAAGTTCGGAGCAGAACAAGCTCCTACAAATCTTTACACACATTTTGGGCACAATCCACCTAAGGACTCCCCTATCACCAAGCCCTACTGACAGAATGGGAAATTGTGTCTGGGCCCTTAGAGCCGGTTTGGTGTAGTGGTTAAGTGCGTGGACTCTAATCTGGGAGGACCGGGTTTGATTCCCCACTCCTCCACTGGATAAGAACATAAGAACATAAGAGATGCCAATGTTGGATCAGGCCAGTGGCCCATCCAGTCCAGCACTCTGTATCACACAGTGGCCAGAAATACCAGTGCCCTCAGGAGGTCCACCAGTGGGGCCAGGACACCAGAAGCCCTCCCACTGTTGACCCCCCCAAGCACCAAGATGACAGAGCATCACTTGCCCCAGAGTCCCTATCTATACCTTGTGGCTAATAGCCACTGATGGACCTCTGCTCCATATGCTTATCTAATTCCCTTTTGAAGCCGTCCATGCTTGTAGCCGCCACCACTTCCTGTGGTAGGGTCAGTGGATGACCCTGGGCAAGCCATAGCTCTGTCAGTGCTGTTCTTGAAAAAGAGCCGTTTTGGTCAAGGCTCTCTCAGCCCCACCCACCTCACAAGGTGTCTGTTGTGGGGAGGGGAAGGGAAAGGAGTTTGTAAGCCGCTCTGAGACTCCTTTGGGTAGTGAAGGGCGGGGTATAAATCCAATCTCCTCTTCTTCGGCTTCCATTCATTTCGATGGGTCTTGTGCACAGGAGAGAGTCTACTAATTCCAGCTGCTTAAAAGTAACCTAGACAAGGTGCCAGTGGCAGCACTTTGGGGTTCTTAGGTCAAGACGGCTAGCCGTGTTAGTCTGCCTGTACCAGTGGAAAAGAGCAAGAGTCCAGCAGCACCTTAAAGACTAACCAAATATGTGGCAGGGTAGAAGCTTTCGTGAGTCACTGCTCACTTCTTCAGATACAGCAAGCATGTGGGGTTCTTGCTTTACATTTTTACCAGAATTCTTTGCGTGGTTCATAAAACAGAGTAAACAGCCACAGGGCTATACGAGTAACTATGCATCAGGAGAAGGTTTTGAGTCCAGTGGCACTTTTAAGACCGACAAAGTTTTATTCTGCGTAAAAGCTCTCGTGTACATGGACACTTATACCCAGAATAAAACTTTGTTGGTCTTAAAGGTGCCACTGGACTCAAACTTCGTTCTGCTGCTTCAGATCAACATGGCTACCCACCTGTCAGGATGCACATGTAAGGTAATTCCATGCTATCTCCCTCCTCCCCTCCTACATAAAAAGCAAGAACCTCACATCAGTTAACTATGAACAAGTTTGTATAAGAGAAGGAGGAGGAGGAGGAGGAGGGGGAGGAGGAGGAGGAGATTGGATTTATACCACACCCTTCACTCAAGAGTCTCAGAGTGGCTTACAAACTCCTTTCCCCTCCCCACAACAGACTCCCTGTGAGGTCGGTGGGGCTGAGAGAACTCTGACAGGAACTGCTCTTTTCAAGAACAGCTCTGACAGAACTGTGGCTTGCCCAAGGTCATCCAGCAGCTGCAAGTGGAGGAGTGGGGAATCAAACCCGGTTCTCCCAGATTAGAGTCCGCGCACTTAACTACTACACCAAACTGGCTCTGAAAAGGAAATGGGGTCATGGAGCAACCGGCTACATTACACAGACATTTCTCAAATGAAGAGGAGGCAAACCCCAACTGGCACTCGAGCCTCCTCTCCTATCTCAGCCTATTGCTCCTGCTCCTTCTTGGCATCCGGACCTGCCCACAAGAGTCATAACCAGTGTTCCCTCTAAGCTGAGTTAGTGTGAGTTAGCTCACAGTATTTTAGTCTCCAGCTCACACATTTCTGTCTTAGCTCAGGAAAGATGGCTCCAGAGCAAACTAAATCATGCCGTAGCCAAATCACCTGCTCACAACTTCAATGTCAGTAGCTCACAAAGTAGAATTGTTGCTCAGAGGGCTCCACAGCTTAGCGGGAACATTGGTCACAACCCACTTTGGAAGCCTGACCCCCCCGCCCCCCGAGCAATCAAAGGTGTTGGGAGCAGGCACCCCAGCTGGTTTTAGCTGCTTTTTTGGAGATGGGAACACTGAAATCAGATTGATTATATCATTTGCAGTCAAAGATGGAGAAGCTCTACACAGTCAATAAAAACAAGACCTGGAGCTGACTGTGGCTCAGATCATGAGCTACTCATTGCAAAATTCAGACTTAAACTGGAGAAAGTTGGGAAAACCACTAGGCCATTCAGGTTTGACCTAGATTACATCCCTGATGAATATACAGTAGAGGTGAAGAATAGATTCAAGGGTCTAGATTTGATAGAGTGCCTGAAGAACTATGGACGGAGGTTCGTGACATTGTACAGGAGGCAGCAATCACCACCATGCCAAAGAAAAAGAAATGCAAGAAAGCCGGTGGCCGCAGCCATGAAATTAAAAGACGCCTGTTCCTTGGGAGGAAAGCGATGGCAAACCTAGACAGCATAATAAAAAGTAGAGACATAACCCACCAACGAAAGTCCGCGCGGTCAAAGCAATAGTATTCCCAGTAGTAATGTATCGCTGTGAGAGTTGGACCATAAGGAAGGCCGAGCGCCGAAGAATAGATGCTTTCGAATTACGGTGCTGGAGAAGAATCTGGAGAGTCCCTTGGACTGCAAGGAGATCAAATCAGTCAATCCTAAAAGAAATCAACCCTATCTGTTCCCTGGAAGGCCAGAGACTGAAGCTGAAGCTGAAGCTCAAATACTTTGGCCACCAAATGAGAAGGGAGCACTCACTGGAGAAGACCCTGATGCTGTGAAAGACTGAAGGCCAAAGAAGACGGGGACGGCAAAGGATGAGATGGTTAGGCAGTGTCACAGATGCAACGGACATGAAATTAAGCAACCTCCGGAGGACGGCAGAAGACAGGAGGGCCTGACGTGATGTGGTCCATGGGGTCGTGAAGAGTCGGACTCGAGTGTGCGACTGAACAACAATTGAAATATTAGGAAAAGTTCAAAGAGTATGGGAGGAGGAGAAGGTCTTTCTAAAATACTACTTGCAGGGTATAACTGTGAGCAGTCTTGGGCAATAGGGATACAAATACGTACATAAACAGGTTTGCCTTACCTCTCCCTCGACCACGTTTCCCACGATCGGAAGGCCTATCCGCTTGGCTGTTGTCCACACCATTCTCCTCTGCTCTAACTAGCCAGAAAGAGATACAAAGGGTAATTTAGTATTGAACGCTGAAAAAACACCGTTGCTTAACTACTGCCCCCGTAGACACTTCAAGGAGGAATTTACTGAAATCAGACATTTTTCAGCGATGCATCTGCTCAACTCATGGAAAAGGTGAGTACCCTTAAGGAGGTACAAACAAAGATCTGCAGTCACTATTGTACCATTAAAAAACCCTACAGAACTCAGTGGTTTTATGGAATCATGCCTAAGGCCTTACAGAAGTTCCCGCCTCAAGTGGGAAATTTCTTTCTTTGTTAGTTGCTGTAGATTCTCTCTTTGTATTTGATAAACGTTTAGGCATTTTAAAATTCTGCACGTCCACACCAAGCATCCAGAATGTACCCTGATATCATCATTTTGGCTTAACAGTCACGAAACCAAGGCCATCATTCTCCCAACTACACAAATGGTGTTGGAACTGGGCAAAATCCTTGGCTCAAGGAACAATCACCCTTATGCTCTATATCAGGGGTCTCCAGCCCAATGCACCCACTAAGCTGTGGAGTCTTGTGAGCAAAAATTCTACTTTGTGAGCGACTGGCATTAAAAGTTGTGAGCGAGCGATAAATTAATTTGCTCCGGAGCCCTCCTTCCTGAGTGGAGACAAAAATCTGTGAGCTGGAGGCTGAAAAACTGTGAGCTGGCTCGCAGTAACTCAGCTTAGAGGGAACACTGCTCCAGCCTTTTTGAGCCTGTGGACACATCTGGAATTCTGACACCCGCACAACGGGCGTAGCAGCAAAAGGACTGCCACAGGGAGCGAAGTCAGCCACAAACTGATTGCCGTAGCTTGACTTCAGTAACACAGTGCATAAATAAATAAATCCTTGCGCTGTGTGGTGGCAGGCAGCTGCTGCCAAAGCAATGTTTTAGAAAGATCTCCACAGCCAATCAAATCTCCAATAGCCAATCAGAAGCCTTGCAAGGCCAAAACCCGACCTGGCCCCACCCACTTCTTAAAAAAACACGGTGGGTGCCAGACAATGCTCCCTCTGAGCGGTGGCGTCTTGGGAGCAAAAATTCTACCCTGTGAGCGACCAGCGTTAAAGCGGTGAGCGAGCGATTTGGCTGCTGCGTCAATCAGTTGGCTCCAGAGCCCTCCTTCCTGAGCGGAGACAGAAATGCGTGAGCCGGAGGCTAAAAAAAAACGGTGAGCTGACTCACACTAATCCAGCTTAGAGGGAACACTGGTGGCAGAGAAGATGTCAGAGGCTGGCACGGTGCCCACGGGCACCACGTTGGGAACCCCTGTTCTGTATTCGTGGTTAAGCTCGTTCCCACGTGCCGGGCAGCACACACACGACAAAGCGATTCAGATACACAATGCTCCTACACGAACTAAGGCAAGCTGTGTTCCTAGAAGCAAGACGCCTGCGCTTACACTCTCGGCCACGGCTGCCCCCTCTTCCTCGTCTGCTGGAACTTCCCCGTCCACGGCTCACTTCTCTGTCCCCTCGCTTTTCTCTGTTCTCTTTGTTCTCTGAACTCTCTTTTCCGAGAGTTTTCTTCTTTCCTCCCACTGTCTCCCACGAAGTCTATTGGGGAGGAGAAGGAAAACAAAACAGTTCATAACTTGGGAATCGAAGGCGGCCTTGCAGAGTTGCCTTTCCAGCCCGACACGCCCCCAACCTAACGGAATTTGGTTTTGCCCGGCCTTTCGGACAAGAGGCACGAACCCTACCGTGACATATACGCCATTAACTGCAAAGTTTACACATGCCTACGAATTACTGAGCAGGTCACTGCTATGCCTAGTTTACAGACAGACATCAATTAGTCCAAGATCTCCAGCACGCTTGTGGCTGGGAGGATATCAGATCAAGGCTGCTACACCACACTAAATAACAGCATACGAACATAAGAGAAGCCACTGTTGGATCAGGCCAATGACCCATCCCGTCCAACTCTCTGTGTCACACAGTGGCCAAAAATGCCAGGTGCCACCAGGAGGTCCAGCAGTGGGGCCAGGACACGAGAAGCCCTCCCACTGTTGCCCCCTCCCCCCAAGCACCAAGAAGACAGAGCATCCCTTGCCCCAGACCGAGAGTCCCTATCTATACCTTGTGGCTAATAGCCACTGATGGACCTCTGCTCCATATGCTTATCTAATTTCCTCTTGAAGCCATCCATGCTTGTAGCCGCCACCACTTCCTGTGGCAGTGAATTCCATGTGTTAATCACTCTTTGGGTGAAGAAGTACTTCCTTTTATCCATTCTAACCCGACCGCTCAGCAATTTCATGGAGTGCCCACGAGTTCTTGCATGGTGAGAAAGGGAGAAAAGTACCTCTTTCTCTACCTGCTCTTTCCCATGCATAATCTTATAAACCTCGATCATGTCACCCCTCAGTCGTCTTTTCTCCAAGCTAAAGAGCCCTAAGCGCTTTAACCTTTCCTCATAGGGAAAGTGTTCCAACCCTTTTATCATTCGAATTGCCCTTTTCTGCACTTTTTCCAAAGTTATAATATCCTTTTTAAGGTGTGGTGACGCACTTAGCCACTGCACCAAACCAAGAGCCAGAGGAGCTTTTATTTCTTGTCCTGTCGCTCCCCCCCCCACCTCTTTGTCCCTCCCTACAAAGGCCAGAGGAAGTTAGGCAACAAAAAGTAAAGAAAGAATTGAGCACAGAACTTGTGCAAAATTTTCAACCTGTACAATTCATACAGGTCATAATTTAGCTTTTTCTTGATGCAGAATCCAGCCGGCCTCATATAGAGTCTGTATTACAGAATTTAATTATTTTTTTCTCAGCTCCAGGCTGAGTTCTGGCCACAAACAATCCAGTTAAACTGGACAACACTACAAATGTGGAAAAGAGCAAGTTTCCAGTAGCACCTTAAAAGACTAACAAAATTTCTGGCAGGGTATGACTCAATGCTCACTTCTTCAGAAGTGAGCAGTGAACCACAAAAGCTCCTGGGCCTGCCACAAATGGTGTTAAGACTTTAAAGTGCTCCTGGACTCTTGCTCTTTTCTGCTGCTACAAACAGACTAACATGGCTATCTGTTTTGAGCTTCACATGGCTACCAATCTTGAGCTTAACAAACGGGAGTGTGCAAATATGCTTGCTTTACTGAGCAGATCTTAGACAAAGGGCACCCCAGCACCCAAGAACCGGCGTGAGCCTCGCTGTTTCACCAAAGCAAGGTCACAGTTCAGTCAAACCCAGCTCATGGGAGTTTGCCAGCATTACTTTCTGCTTTGCATGTGGACAAACAAGGAAGCTGCATCAAGAATCAACAGCTTCAACCCTGCAACCCGTTTCTGCTAAGGGGGAAGACACTCTCCCTGCCAGAACAAGGTTCCTCACTTTGTAGGACACAGATGTTCACTCCAGCCCAATTGCCATGGGCGTGGAATGAGGATGAGCTGACAGAGCCTGCAGAAACCACGGCTGGCCCCTCTGAAGCAGCAGAGGAGGATAGCTGGCAAGTGCCTGCAACAGCAGTCTTCACACCTGGCCCAGATAAGAAAGGACTGCAAGCTGAAAGTCCTCCTGACTTACCCACACGTGTGACTCGTTTACAAGAGTGACTGCTGCAAAACCTAGAAACCATGCGACAAGAAGCCAGGCTACAGGGGAGACGCTGAGCCACAAGAGGCCAGGCTACATGGGGAGACGCTGAGCCAGCCCAGAGTTCTAACAGGAGCCTGGCAGATCATGCAGCTGGCTAATTGGCAGCAGCATTTAACTCCACACTCTGGGCAGTACTCTTCGTGGAAGCAACGAGTCAACTTCGTGCTACTAGCATCCACTCCAGCTCAGCTCTTGCACCTAGACCTTTGGACCCCCTGGCTTTGGACTTGGCTCTGTGTTTCTGGCTCCTGATCCCGGCTTGGCTTTGGACTACGCTTCTGGTTAGTGATTTTGGACTTGGCTCTGTGTTTCTGGCTCCTGACCCCAGCTTGGCTTTGGACTTTGCACTGTCTTCTTGGCTCCTGACCTTGGCCTGTTCTGAGCTCTTTTTGACCGGCACTCCAGCCCGTGACACCAATATCTGGAGTGGCCTCTGTTCAGAATTCCCTCTAGACGACTTTCGGTACCCAAGACTCTAGAATAACGATACACCGGGAATACGCTTGCGCAAAAAGGAACGGCTGTTATGTCTAAGATGCAATCACAACTTGCCAAAGAGATGTCCCTTCAGCTCAATGGGCGGGACTAAAACTAGCAAGGCTCAACCAAGGAACTTGCAGTTTAGGGAAGGTAAGTCTGCTAGGGGGACTTGCACCTAACGTATTAAATATTTCCGAGCCCTATGTATGCACAGGGCTGGTCGGGGTGCTGAAAAGTAAGAACTTCATACACGTTCCCCCAGTCTTGGCAACAGATGCCATCTTCCCTCCTTCCCCGCCCCCAGGAATCTCCAGAGGCTGAGCCCTCATACAAAGCAACACACACAAAGATTTAGGCTGCGATCACGCATACTAAATGACCCACTTTCAATGCACTTTCCACCTGGATTCTGCCAGTTCACACAGTAAGATCCAATTGGGAAGTGCCTGGAAAGCGGATTGTTCCGTGCGTGTTGAGATCGCAGCCTTAGAAAACGGAGCCGCAGAGGAGCAGCGCTGGGACCCAAAGGAGATCCTTACTGTGTCGGAACTTCCTTCCAGCAAGATGTTGATGGCTCTGTTCACATCCCCGTTGCAGTCATGGAGAGCCACTATGCAGTCATCCTGGTTCTTCCCAGTCACCTCCATCAGCTGGGAAAGACAATAAAGGAGGTATGTGGGGGGGAAAAGGTGCACGGGGATAAACCATGACAAGCAAGAACCAAGGCGCGAGTAACACAACAGGCGTGTTAGAACAGCATGCGGGTTAAGAGAGGCAACGGTGTAGTGATTTGTACACCAGTTTGGTGTAGTGCTTAAGTGCGCGGACTCTAATCTGGGAGAACCGGGTTTGATTCCCCACTCCTCCACCTGCAGCTGCTGGGGTGACCTTGGGTCAGTCACAAGTTCTCCCAGAGCTGTTCTCTCAAGGACAGTTCTGGAAAGAGCTCTCTCAGCCCCACCTATCTCACAGGGTGTCTGTTGTGGGGAGGGGAAGGGAGAGGATTTTCTAAGACGCTCTGAGACTCCGAGTGAAGGCCGGGGTATAAATCCAATCTCTTCTCTCTTCTTATGTTCCCTCTAAGCTGTGGAGTCTTGTGAGCAGAAATTCTACTTTGTGAGCTACTGGTGTAAAAGTTGTGAGCGAGTGATTTGGCGACAGCATGCATTAGTTTGCTCTGGAGCCCTCCTTCCTGAGCGAAGACAAAAATGGGTGAGCCAGAAGCTAAAAAGCTGTGAACTAGCTCACACTCAATCAGCTTAGAGGGAACACTGCAGTTTGCAGTCCTGATGGGCCAGGCTAGCCCCCCTCTTGTCAGACCTCGGAAGCTGAGCAGGGCTTGAACGCAATGACCTGGCAACAGTGATCCACGCAATGGTCACCTCCAGACTGGATTACTGTCATGCTCTCTGCATGGGGCTGCCCTTGTCTCAAATCCGGAAGCTGCAGCCGGTGCAGAACGCAGCGGCGAGGCTGTTGTGTCTTCCTGTGCGGGAACACATACAGCCCACCCTAAAAGCGCTGCACTGGCTGCCTATAGCATACCGGATCCGGTTCAAGGTGCTGGTTCTTACCTTTAAAACTCTATATGGTCGGGGACCTACTTACCTAAGGGGCCGCCTTTCCTCACATGTCCCCCAGAGAGCACAAAGATCGGGGTCCCAAAATCGCCTGGTCCTCCCGGGCCCTAAAGAAGCCAGGCTGGCTATCACCAGAGCCAGGGCCTTCTCAGTGGCGGCTCCACACTGGTGGAATGAGCTCCTGGATGACATCGGGGCCCTGCGGGGCCTTTTTGCAGTTCCGCAGGTCCTGCAAGACGGAGCTCTTCCACCAGGCTTTCGATGAGGGTGCCGCCCTGTCAGCTAGCTGCCATGTTTTCTTTGCTTTCTTCCATTCCTGACCTTAGCGCATGCCTGCGTGCATACTTGCTCGCTTGCTTTGCTTAGCTGCTGTGGGTAACTTAAGGGAGGCGCTATTTGGGCCGTGCGAACTGGCTCAGCCAGACAGCGTTATCTGTGTAGCCTTGAAGAGGTGAGAGGGCTTGCATTTCACTATGGGTGTGAATATTTCTGCTCTCAGGCGTTGGGGAGAGTCTCCCGTGTATGATGTAATGTCCCGCCGGGAGAATTCCCGCCCGCACGCTTCGATTTCATTTGCTCAGCTAGATGAGGCATTAAGTTCCTGGCACTAATCGTTATTCCTGACAATGTTCCTGTACCACTTGGCAACAAAACTGTATTCCAATAAAGCAGTGGTGGCGAACCTATGGCACGGGTGCCAGAGGTGGCACTCAGATCCCTCTCTGTGGGCATGCGTGCCATCGCCCCAGCCAGGCCCAGACCATCATTAAAGTGTCGAACTCTCTGCCAAACAATGTTAAGTAAATGAAAGCATTTGGGATTGCTTTCCTTACTTTGTTTGGATCATCTTAAGTTAATGTATGAGTTGTTTTTTCTAAAGTAAAACCTCAGTATTCAGGTTAAATTGCCGTGTTGGCACTTTGCAATGAATAAGTGGGTTTTGGGTCGCAGTTTGGGCACTCGGTCTCTAAAAGGTTCACCATCACTGCAATAAAGCATAACTTTTCCTGAAGAGTGTGCTTGGACCTGCATGCTGTTGACCCTGACACGCCCTTAACATCTTTGCCCTGGCCCTGACATCAGCAGCAGCACCCACAGCCTGGCAGGAGCCTGGACTACGGGGGTACGCGGCCGCTTTAAATGCCGAGAGAACGACACCATCTGCTATTAACACTTCTTTTGCATATGTATGATTTTACATACTGTGATTTTAATGACATGTGTTTTATCATATTTTAGTGTTTTAACATACATATGTGTATACCGTAAGCCGCACCTGAGCCTGCCTTGGCAGGGAGGTGCGGGATATAAATTTAACAAATAAATAAATACTTGGATGGGAGATCAGCGAGGAAACCCAGGGTCCCGACCAATGTTCCCTCTAAGGTGTGGAGTCTTGTGAGCAAAAATTCTACTTTGTGAGTTCCTGGCATTAAAGTTGTGAGCAAGCGATTTGGCTACTGCATCAATTAGTTTGCTCTGGAGCCATCCTTCCTGAGTTAAGACAAAAATGTGTGAGCCGGAGGCTAAAAAACTATGAGCTAGCTCACACTAACTCAGCTTAGAGGGAACACTGGTCCCGACACAGAGGCAGGCAGCCACCTTAGAACGCCCTGAAACTCTTATGGGGGTCACCACGAATCAGCTGCAGCTTGATGGCACACTTCCTGCCACCCAAGGTGCTACTGTCGCCTTCAAGACACCTTGCAGCTGGGCAGATCCGAAATGACAGCAGTGACGTTTGTTTGGAAGAATAAACCTAACACATCCTCTCCCTCAAAGGGGGAGGAGTTCCCTGTGGAGCTGAAGGAGTCAGCGGCGCCCATGCCTGAGAATCACAACCAGAGCTCGTCAATAAAGCAATTTAGGCAGGTAAAACAAAGGCCAGTTTACCCACAACAATCCAAGCGCTGAAATCTGGCAGCTGAACTGATTTAATTAGGCTGGTGGTTTAAAATGGAGCCGTTTCTCCTCACCGGCCAGCTCCCTTTACCTAAAAATGCTGTCAAGAGGAACATGGTGGGCTTTACAGAGGTGACAGATGTTTCCTGTGTGTGCAATGTGCATTCAGGAATACTTTGGTTTCTTTGTTTTAAGCAAACTCTGAAATGCATTCAGTAAGGGAGAGGGAGTAAAGAAAGCAAAAGCATATAACTCTCTCAAGAAACAGGAAGCACAGGTCTTTTGTTCCAGTTCAGCTCCAGAAAGACTAGGAAAACCCGGGCAGGACAAGACACACAGCCAGAGGAGCTGAGATGGCCAGCTGCACATATTTTAGGAACCCTTCTCACACAAAAATCAAGCGCGGCTTTCCAGCGACCCGGATCTTCTTTTTAACAAGTGTCACAGCACAGAAAAGCTGGAAAATGTGTCAGTAGTTCACGCTGATGGTTTAGCAAACCCTCTGGGCCCAAAAAATGGCTTCAGGTAACAAAAAAACCAACAACACAAGTGCTTTTTCAGGCTTACAGCTTCCAAATGACCTGAACCTCTTTTCACTCCCATTCTAGTTCTCCTTCCCTACGAGGACAAGAGGGGATACTTGCCTGTTTCACTTTATCCTCAAAGTCTGCGTCGTTCTTATCGTAGATCATCTGGGCAAGACGAATTTGTTCCGCTGTTGCCTGAAAGGGCCAACAATCTAAGTCAGATATTTAACAACAAGACGTTCATAGACTGACAACCTGAGACTCTCAAAATGTGTTGACCCCTTTTTACGTAAAACCAGAGGAGAATATAACAAGGTGTATTTAATACCCTTCATTACCCAAAGAATCCAGATTTTTGAACAAACACAGGAGGAGCCACCAGAAGTGGTTCCACACAGAGCAGTTTTTAGGCCAGGGTTCTAGCATGGTGCACAAGCAGCAGCAGGTCAGAGCCAGTTTAGTGTAGTGGTTAAGTGTGCGGACTCTAATCTGGGAGAACCGGGTTTGATTCCCCACTCCTCCACTTGCACCTGGCTGGATGACCTTGGGCCAGCCACAGTTCTGATAAGAGCTGTCCTTGAAAAAGAGCAGTTTCTGTCAAGAGCTCTCTCGGCCCCACCTACCTCACAGGGTGCCTGTGGTGGGGAGGGGAAGGGAAAGGAGTTTGTAAGCCGCTCTGAGACACCTTTCGGTAGTGAAGGGCAGGGTATGAATCCAATCTCTTCTCCTCCTTCTTCTCTATATCCCCTATGAGGAACAATTCAGCAGGATTTGGGGGGTGGGAGCTGCATACACCCTGGTTAGAGTCCAAAACTAGAGTTATAATACCCAAGAATTATCTTCAGAACTCGAGGGCATCTTACACAGAGAGTGATTAAAATGTCAGTTCACTGGCAGAGGATGTCGGGAGGGCCACAGGAATAAACAGCTTTCCAAGGGGGATTAGATAGATTCATAGAGGAGAGCTCTACCAATGGCTACTAGCCATGGCAACTGAGGGGGAACCGCCACATCCAGAGGCACTGATCCTCTGAATCTCAGAGCCAGGAGGCAACATCAATTTATTTATTTTATTTATACCCCGCCCTCCCCGCGAGCGGGCTAAGGGCAGCTTACACAGGCACAACAGTGCAATAAAATACAACAAGATTAAAACAATTAAGGCACCAAAGTGCGATAAAAATAAAACAGGTTAAACACTTAAGACAAAGGAAGGGAAATCAAGGGAAGGCCTCGGCCTCTGTGCCCTGCTGTTGGCTGTCCAGAGGAACGGGTAGGCCACTGTGCAAGACAGGATGCTGGACTGGATGCTGGGCAGGTCCGGCACAGAACTTCTTATGTTCCTGTGCATGTTATGTTTTAACTGATATCCCCCCTCCCCCCATTTTGAAGACTTGATCTTTGGATATACCTTGTTTGACCAGCATACATGCCTACAAAGCTCCAAGAAGATTCACCGGAAGATTGAAGTTGTTGGGCTGATGATTCTTTAGAGGAGAGGAGGAGGAGATTGGATTTATACCCCGCCCTTCACTTGGAGTCTCAGAGCGGCTTACAAACTCCTTTCCCTTCCCCTCCCCACAACAGACACCCTGTGAGGTAGGTGGGGCTGAGAGAACTCTGACACAAACTGCTCTTTTTCAAGGACAGCTGTGCCAGAGCTTGTGACTGACCCAAGGTCATACCAGCAGGTGCAAGTGGAGGAGTGGGGAATCAAACCCGGTTCTCCCAGATTAGAGTCTGCACACTTAACCACTACACCAAACTGGCTCTCAGTTTAACCAATGCATCCCCTTCCAGAATGGTTAGAAACCTAATGGGGCTGTGGCCAGAAACCAGATGCTTTTAGCCAACAGAGGTCCCAACAGAGGTCCAAATTTTGGTGGAAGTAAAGACCCTAAAGAGTTGGATGAGCTTTTGACTTCGGTCCAGAAGCTTCAAACATTGCCTCTGGGAATTGGGATTCCACCTTCCCAACTTATCTTTTGGGGCTGCCCTTTCCTCAGAGAACCATAACTTCAGGAAAGGCATTCAGAAGGTGTGCTCAACAAAACTCCAATGGAACTATTATTTACATGTCGCTTATGAAGTTGCATAAAATAGACAAGTCTCTGCCCTCAGGAACTTACAATCCAAATGATTCTGTGGAAACGGTTCGCCATGTTTGTGAGACAGGACGGATTCTTTTCCTTCCGAAGTCACACTGATCATCAACTTTAAGGAGATCTACCCCTCCCTTCCAGCATGAGAGTTCCTTGCCTACATTCCCTGGAGCCATTTGCTTTATACCAAGTACCTTTTTGAAGCACACTTGCCTTCTGCCACAAGCATACAGTAGCTTGGAAGAATGGGTTGACCTTATTATCAGGCTGGCCTTTCAGTTCATCTCCACATGTTCACATACAGCAAACCAGCATTAAAGAACATTCCCAATACATTTAGAATCATAGAATGTTAGAGTTGGAAGGGATCTTAAAGGTCATCTAGTCCAACCCCCTGCACTCTACAGGAGCATAGCCGAAAGATAGCCCTACAATATACCCGAAAGAGGTTCATCTAGCCTCTGCTTGAAAACGTCCAGCAAAGTAACCTCCACCACCTCCTGAGGCAGTCTGTTCCACTGCTCAACCACTCTTACAGTTAGGAAGTTTCTCCTGATATTTAGCCGGTATCAACTACCTTGTCATTTCCACCCATTAGATCTAGTCTTGCAATCCGGAGCAAGAGAGAATAGATCCGCTCCATCTTCTACATGACAGCCCTTCAAATACTTGAAGACTGCAATCATGTCTCCTCTAAGCCTTCTCTTTCCCAGGCAAAACATATCCAACTCTTTCAGCCTCTCCTCATAAGACTTGGATTCCAACCCTCTCGCCATCCTGGTTGCCCTCTTCTGGACACACCAGAGTTTTTCCCCACCTAGCCCCACAAAGCTCCCCCACCAGGGCAATATACTTGGTCTCCACCCACCCCTATTCTGTACGTCAGAATGAGAAACCGTGGCTGTCCCTAAGCCAACCACGAAACTTCAGGGCTAAGCAGAGATTTTTAACCAAGTCCTATTCAGACTCTATACACTGCACCACACTGAAGAACCGCTTTGCCGTAAGGAGTGTAATGAGCCCTTGTGGGAATATGATAAGGCATGCAAAATATGTAAACTGTGTGGTTCTGTAAGAATATATGGGCTCTGAAGAAGTAGAATCGAAACTCTCTCGGCTGACAGGAGAGAAAGTTTCCTATTTTCCTATGATGGATTACATGTGTTGAATTACTTATTGTGTTGAAGTCTCTTTTTGTAAGCTCTTGTGCGGGTTTTTACAGTGCACAGTTGTTATTTTTTGGTTTTGCTTAGCCTGGTTTCTCGGCCTCCCTGCGGACCTGAAAGTTTGGAAACTAAGAAACAGCAAAGAAGATTACAGTGTTTTCAAGGACTGCATACAGCCCATTTACTGGTCTTGCTTTAGGAAGGCTTCTTTATACTTATGTGTTTCATAGCTTTTGTGCTTTAATAAGCAATAAGTGCAGGTGGATCATACTAAAAGATTTGCAGTTAAACTCCAGGCATGATTTTCTCATTTATTATGTTTGAGACATATGCCTTTAAGTAACACTTTAGTGGTATTTGACCTTGAGCAATCCGTTCTTTCCATGGTATATTTTGTTTTTGTTATTGTACTTAGTATCTCTGTGGTCCCGTTGTATTCAGGGGTGATCTAAAGCAGCTTACATCTCTCCTCCGTTTCATCCTCACAACTACCCTGTCTTACATGAACAAACATGAAGCTGCCTTATACTGAATCAGACCATCGGTCCATCGAGGTCAGCATCGTCTACTCAGACCGAAAACCAGTGAGGATTGTGAGGCACTCCTGTCAAGGATGGGCATTGGGCAAGTGGGCGTCAACATGGCAAATGGGGTTCAATGTGGCCAAGTGCAAGGTGATGAACACTGGAGCCAAAAATCCTAAATATAAATACACATTGATGGGGTCTGAACGGGCAGAGACTGATCAAGAGAGAGATCTTGGAGTCGTAGTAGATAACTCACTGAAAATGTAGAGACAGTGTGTGACTGCAATAAAGAAGGCCAATGCTATGCTGGGGATTATTAGGAAGGGTATTGAAAACAGATCAGCCAATATCATAATGCCCCTATATAAATCAATGGTGAGACCTCATTTGGAATACTGTGTGCAGTTCTGGGCACCACACCTTAAAAAGGATATTATAGCTTTGGAAAAAGTGCAGAAAAGGGCAACTCAAATGATAAAAGGGTTGGAACACTTTCCCTATGAGGAAAGGTTAAAGCACTTAGGGCTCTTTAGCTTGGAGAAAAGACGACTGAGGGGTGACATGATCGAGGTTTATAAGATTATGCATGGGAAAGAGCAGGTAAAGAAAGAGGTACTTTTCTCCCTTTCTCACAATACAAGAACCCGTGGGCACTCCATGAAATTGCTGAGCGGTCGGGTTAGAACAGATAAAAGGGAATTAGATAAGCATATGGAGCAGAGGTCCATCAGTGGCTATTAGCCACAAGGTATAGATAGGGACTCTGGGGCAAGTGATGCTCTGTCATCTTGGTGCTTGGGGGGGGGTGTCAACAGTGGGAGGGCTTCTAATGTCCTGGCCCCACTGGTGGACCTCCTGATGGCACTGGTATTTCTGGCCACTGTGTGACACAGAGTGTTGGACTGGATGGGCCTTTGGCCTGATCCAACATTGGCATCTCTTATGTTCTCTTATAACTGGAAGCGGCTCTCCTGGGTCTCAGTTCACAGTGGCAACTCGGTGTCACAAGCAAACAAACGACCAGTCCCCCTGAGCATCCACGGGAACAAACCTCGGGTTACTTCCCAAGTGAGTGAATGGGTGCTTCTCCTGTGATAAAGGTACCACTAGATGAAAATCAATTATGTACATTCATCGAGCAAGAAACTGCAGGACAGTTTTTAAAGCCCTGTTGCTTCCTCTTCACCACCCCTTTACAGGAAGCCCATACACACAACCAGCGGGTGCTCATCCTTACCTGTACGACTGGTTTCTGCGGTTGTGTTGGCTGCGTGGCTGAAATCTGCGCTTTGTCTCGAGTGCCCCGGGTACGCTCACTGCCCACCGAAGTCATCATATACAGTATATACAAATCAACGTTATGTACAAAATAGAAAATCTGAAAAAGAATGAGGAAAGGCACACATTTAGATATTCGGTTCCAAGAAAAGGGACCGTACAGAGTTTTAAAATTATATTTATAGTAGTTATATCTTTTGTCTCTCCTCCCCCCACAAGGGTAACTTAGGCCCAAGGAAGCTTAAGATACGTATCAAACGAAGAAGAGCCAGTTGGTTTTGCAAGCTGAACCGTGCTGCTTCGGACAGATGGGTAACCAGAACTGCATTTTTCAAATGGTCCGGCACGCAGCAAGCAGTACAAGAATTCATTCAGGTTCATATAGGGACTCAGACACACTACCGGACAGCCTTATCGGTTTTATAGTTGGTATTAGTTTTCTATCAACGTGGTATGCCCGGCTCCACTACTCGGCAGTGGCGGTCACAAGAAATACAGGTCACGGGGAAACCCACAAGCCAAGACCTCAGAAGTTATAATTTATAATCGCTTTTTGAAAATCAACGTATTTGTCAGCTCAGATAATTTCAGCTAGGTTTGTTGATCAGAGGCGAAGGAGCTGGAGAGATACATGGATATTTGAGTAAAACTAGTAGATTTTGACTCCTCCCTAGAAGCTGAAATGACTAAAATGAGGCTATCATAAACTGCTGTAGATTTTCCGGGCTGTCTGGCCGTGGTCTTGGCATTGCAGGACCTGACGTTTCGCCAGCAGCTGGGACTGGCATCCTCAGAGGTATAACACAGAAAGATGGAGTACTCTCTGTGTCAAGGTGAGAAGAAAAATGGTAGGCAGCAATGCTCCCTCTAAGCTGTGGAGTCTTGAGAGCAAAAATTCTACTATGTGAGCTAGTGGCATTAAAGTTGTGAGCGAGCGATTTGGCTACTGCATAAATTAGTTTGCTCTAGAGCCATCCTTTCTGAGCAAAGACAAAAATGTGTGAGCCGGAGGCTAAAAAACTGTGAGCTAGCTCACACTCACTCAGCTTAGAGGGAACAGTGGTAGGCAGGTAATTTATATCTACTCAGGAAGGTATAAATTATCTGACTACCATTTTTCTTCTCACCTTGACACAGAGAGTACTCAGTGCGGAGATGCAAATCATCGGTCCCTCATTGAAGCACACCGGAAACACATGGGGGGGGGGACCTGAGTGCTCCCTATGCAGTGTGCGATGATGCGCATACTGAACCGGGGGGAGGGGGGGACAACAGCATGAAGTCGGGATGGCCTGATCAGACCCTCCCGACGCCATGGGAGCACACTGGAGCGATCAGACATCCCTGGCCCATAGCAGACCGTTTGCTACCGGACTTTCCCTGGTGTCTTTTTACTCCGCTTCTGCGATGGGAGCAAAACGGGCCACTGACGACTCCGGGACACTGGGCAGATCCGCCCGGCATTCGTGCCTGTGGCGCGGCTAATTGTGTGTGTGATCGCACTCTGAATGCAGATTGCCCAGGCCGTGCCTGGCCTTAATGAAATGCAGCAATGGAAGACAGCCTCCTCCCTCAGTCCCAGACTGGCAGTGTACAACTTCGTCCTGAGCTCTGGCCAAAGCAACCAGATGTGGGGGGGCGGGGGACACAGGAAGAGGAGGAAATAGGCTGGTGCCTTAAATCTGTACCAAGCCAGAGGAACGCCCAGACAGCAAAACAGAAACACAGAGCTGGAAGGTACCCCAAGGCTCATGTAGTCCAACCCATTGCATAATGCAGGAAATTCACAACTACCCCCCACACTCCCCCAGTGATCCCCTGCTCAATGCCCAGAGGAAAGCAACAAAAACCCCAAGATCCCCGGGGCCAATCTGGCCTGGAAGAAAATTCCTTCCTGACCAGTGCTCCCTCTAAGCTGTGGAGTCCCGTGAGCAAAAATCCTACTTTGTGAGCTACTGGCATTAAAGTTGTGTGAGCGAGCGATTTGGCTACTGCACAGATTAGTTTGTTCCGCAGGCATCCTTCCTGAGCTAAGACAAAAATGTGTGAGCTGGAGGCTAAAAAACTGTAGGCTGGCTCACCCTAACTCAGCTTAGAGGGAACACTGCCCCTGACCCTAAAGTGGGGTCCTGACCCCAAAGTGATCCCAAACAATGTATGGAAAACATGAGGCTGCCTCATGCTAAACCTTCTTACTGTACGCCTCTATGTGCCTTCGTTAGATGCATCTGGTAGACACATCTGACGAGCAAAAGACATGCCAGGGCAGCAGTCTCTTCTGTGAGCAGGATTAAAGCCAACTGGCCTAGGGTTTTCTCTTCTTGGCCAACAGAAGGGGACGGGGGGAGACATGAATGAACTTCTTGGCCCTGGCAATCAGCTGTTATCAAACTGAAGGCCACAGTTCTGAGAGCCCTCTACCCACCAGAATGAGCTTCCGGAGGAGATCAGGGCCCTGCGGGACCTCTTGCAGTTCTGCAGGGCCTGCAAGACGGAGCTCTTCCGCCAGGCATTTAAGTAGGGGCCACCGCTACTGCAGGCTCCCACTACTGCAGGTCGTTACAACTGAACATGGCCCGTGGTTTTAACAACAAATGGTCTAAGAGCAGAAAACATCGCGGACCATCTGGGCAGTGGCAATTTATTCCTGTAATATACCATCTAGACTAATTTTAATCTGCCGCCAGCACTTTGTATTTATAATGTTTTACTGTATGGTGAATATTGTGTATTTATATTTTTATGGAAGCCGCCCTGAGCCCGCTTGCGGGGAGGGAGGGGTATAAGTTTGATAAATAAATTAATAAATAAATTGATCAAGTCAGAAGAGGAGGAGGAGGAGATTGGATTTATACCCCGTACTTCACTCAGAGTCTCAGAGTGGCTTACAAACTCCTTTCCCTTGCCCTCCACACAACAGACACCCTGTGAGGTAGGTGGGGCTGAGAGAGCTCTGAGAGAAGTGTCCTTGAGAGAACAGCTCTGAGACAACTGTGGCTTGCCCAAGGTCATCCAGCAGCTGCAAGTGGAGGCGTGGGGGAATCAAACCCGGTTCTCCCAGATTAGAGTCCGCGCACTTCACCACTACACCAAAATAAGCAACCTAGGATTTGTTTTCATATGCAACAACGGCAACTGCATACTTTTTGCGGGGGTCACCTAGTATTTCAAGTGCTGCCTCAGCCGCCATTTCAACCTCTTCCTCCATCCGCTGTCAAATCCAGTTTATATTGACCCGGACTGCACACTCCATTACCGTGCTTAATGCAATAAGGAAAGAGCTGGGAAATGGCTCGCAGGAGGAGAGACGCAGCTTCCGTGAACTCTTGCACAGTTCAGTGGAAAACACCAGCTTATACCGGGAACTGAGTGCAGCATCACCTTACCCAGAAGATCACGTTCCACCTGGCTTTATGAATGGGCTTGGCCAAGCCAGCCTGCCTGGTGCCCAGAAGGAAGTCTAATGTTCTCCACTCAGGTTCTCCCTTCCTCTTTTGAATCACTGAAGCACCAAACCAATAGCTTTCAGGCACCAACAATCCTCATCCAACACAAAAATGTAAATACGTTCTGTTTAAGAGCCTCCACTGATGACCCTTCTAAACAGGAATTAAACAGCAAGGTACAGTGGAGCAACAGCGAACTTTATTTTTAAAAATATTTTGTTCTTGTTTCACTATAGAGTCCGCCTTTTTCACCGAGACTGGAAGCGGATTATGGGGTGGAAGTCAATGTAATCGACGGGAGATGAGGTACCTTATAAACAGAGGGCCAGAAACAAGCAGAGATGAGACATGATTTGCAATGGAGATTTAGTTGTTATTTATTTATTTATTTAATCCATTTGTACCCCATCTTTCTCCACAACAGAAGAGAGAAGAAGAACAGAAGAGATTGGGTTTATACCCTGCCCTTCACTACCCAAAGGAGTCTCGGGGCGGCTTACAAACTCCTTTCCCTTCCCCTCCCCACCACAGGCACCCTGCGAGGTAGGCGGGGCTGAGAGAGCTCTGACAGAAACGGCTCTTTTTCAAGAACCGCTATTATCAGAACTATGGCTTGCCCAAGGTCATCCAGCAGGTGCAAGTGGAGGAGTGGGGAATCAAACCCGGTTCTCCCAGATTAGAGTCCACGCACTTAACCACTATACCAAACTGGCAAAGCAGCTTACACTGTTCTCCTCTCCTCTATTTCATCTTCGCGACAACCCTGTCAGGTAAGCTAGGCTGAGAGAGCGTGACTGGCCCAAAGTCACCCAACAAACTTCCATGGCACAAGTGGAGAATCGAGACCAAGTCTCCCAGATAGTAGGCAGGCACTCTTAACCACTACACCATATTGGCATTGCATCCTTTTACTCACTACCTGTGGAGGTGGGGACCAACAAGCGCAAAGCATGCTAAAGATGCATATAGAATAAATCCACGTGCACAACCACCACCGGTCCTTAAACAACTACAGTGGAACTTCGCATTAACTTTCTCTGCAGCTGTGCCTTGTGTTTTGAAACGTTTCAGTGCCCCAAGGGCACGGCCACAAAATAAATCCGTGAGAGTTTACTTTGCATCCACTATTTCCTTTTTGGTCAAGAAAAGTTCACAGAAAAGCAGCATACAGAACTGCTTAATAGCGCGGCTCTCTCATCTCTCAACCCCAGGAACCTGGTTCAACTGCACAGTCACTTCACACATTAGCCTTTTTCTTCAACAAGTGCACAAAAATACAAAAGCAAAAACTCATGTCTTTGTCTCGGTTCTCCCGAAGGACAGGCAGCTCTTGCTGACTTTACTTCCGAACCAAAACACTTCTACGATGTGCCTCCGTGAGGAAGTAACAGTAGCTTTAAAGATTTTTACATGTGTCCCCCCCCCCCCCCCCTTGCCTGGAACACTAGGGAGGATGCTGGGACATATTTTAAGAGAACAGATGACACTGGCTTGATCGGAAAATAGGCTAGAGCTCAAAAGGATGCTATGTAGAAGCTAAGCTGTAAAAAAAAAAAAAAAAAGGCAGGCAATACAGGAAGAAAATAAAGTGTGCAACTGTTTGGGAATTGCCCCAGGAAATCTCAGCAGCTTTTCAGACAGTAGGTAAACAATC